AAAACTAAATGTTATATTTATATGCATGTATATATATTCTGAGATACATTCACACACATAATATGTACATATACTATATGATACACATATGTATAGTGTATGTGTGTGTACACACATACACACACACTCCTATGCAATGGCAAAGCAAAATAATGGAGAAAGGACACATTAATTTGTAGTTGGTGCTGAGGCCAGTGATTTACTAAAAGGAGAAAAATAAAGTTGGGTTCCTACATTCCCAATACACAAAGGTGGTCTCCAGAAATACTTAACAACAAAATATGAAAAATGTGATATGATAGGAAGAAAATGTTGAAGAATATTTTTGAGATTTTTGTTTTAGGAAGGATATCTTATAAGCAAATCTTTTAAAAATGAATGAAAAGGTAAGATTTTAATTAAATTTCAGAATACAAAGAGTAAACTTTTTTTTTTGCTATCAAGGAAACTAGAGATTGGTATACAAATGACAAATTCAACAGAAATATTTGTAATATATTAAATTAATAAGTGATCAATATCTAGATGACTGCTGCCTAAAGGACTTTTCTATACTGATGAAAGTGTTTATGAAGATGTTTTATATCTGTCTTACTCACTAGTGTAGGCACTGTTCACATATAACTATTGAATCCCAGAATGAGACTGGTGGGAGGAACTAAAATTTCAGTGTTATTTATTTTTATTTATTCAAATTAGTATTTAAACAGACATATGTTATTACCTACTGTATTGAACTGTGCAGATGCACAGGATGCAAATCAACAAGAAGAGCACAGAAAACCCATGTTATGTGGACCAAGATCTTACAGGAGTAGTTCATAGAAAAGCTGAAGAGCTAATAGGTATGAGAGGGGCTCCAAATTCACTGATAACAAAAAAAGGTGAATTAAATCAACATGGTATTATTTTATATGGAAACAAAAATTTAGGAAGGCAAATTATATCAAAATTTGTAGTGGGGATATGAGCAATGTATCCTGCTCTTTAGTTGGAATTAGAGTCATTCTGAAAAACAGTATGAAATATTTAGTGAAAATAAGTGGATAAGTGCTTTATTGTACAGTTTTTTTTCACTTCTGGGTATTTATCTTAGAGAAATTCTAACACCTACATAAGGCTATTGGACAGTTATTAATCATGAAATCATTCATAGTAATAGAAAATCATAAGCAGTTAAGCTGTCCATCATTTGGTGAATAGACAGTAAAGTGAGTTTATTTGTACTACTGAATAATAGCAATGCTTTGAAGTACAAGCTCTCTCTCTATAAAACAGTGTGAATTATATTTAGAGGGAAAGGACATACAATGGCATTTTGTAAATTAAATCATGTACACTCATAGAGCAGTGGTTCCTATATTATGAAGAAATTGACATATTTAAAGGGAAATAGTAAATACATTTAGAATGGTGACTATTTGAAGAGAATTGCAGTCAAGAATTTAGAAAGAAAATACTAGGAGGGGAGGAGTTAAATGGTGAGGTACTAGGGGGACCTTGAGCTTTCCTTGCTCCTCAGACAGTTGGATAAACATCAAACTATTTTGAACAATTAGAAATATGAGGATGAAGAAAGGAATCTGAACAATTGGAGAGAGAGATTGTGGCAGGTGTGAGACTTATATTAACAAATCAGGGGTGCTTGGGTGACTCAGTTGTTAAGCCTCTGCCTTTGACTCAGGTCCTAATCCCAGGATCCTGGGATTGAGCCCTGCATTGGGCTTCCTGCTTGGTGGGAGGTCTGCTTCTCCCTCTCGCACCCCCCAGCTTGTGTTCCCTCTCTTGCTGTCTCTCTTTCTGTCAAATAAATAAATAAAATCTTTAAAAAAAAATCAAAGCACACCTAGTTAAAGGTTCAAAACTCCCCACTATAAGCAAGGAAGAACTCCATAGAGGACAGAGAGTGGGAAAGAAAAGCCACAACACAACAATAGAGTGCACACAACATACACCAGAAACACTTCCTGAAGTCCCAGGCCCTGAACAGTGTATGACTTCTTTTTAGATTAGGGGACTCAGTGATTCCATAGATCGAGATAGTATCTGTTATAGGAGTTCCAGAAGAGGAAGACCCAGGGTGGAGGAAAAGGGAAGAAGGTTTATTTGAACAAATAATAGCTGAGAATGTCCCTAATCTGGGGAAGGAAATAGGCATTCAGGCCCAAAAGGCACAGAGAACTACCCTTAAAACAACAAAAACAAGTCAACATCATGACACATCATAGTGAAACTTGCAAAATACAAAGATAAGGAGAGAATCCTAAAAGAAGCTCCAGAGAAAAAGTCCTTAACTTATAATGGCAGACACATAAGACAGCAGACCCATCTACAATGACCTAGCAGGCCAGAAGACAAGTGGCATAATATACTTAAGGTGCTAAATGGAAAAAAATATGCAGCCAAGAATATTTTATCCAGCAAGGCTGTCATTCAGAATAGAAGGAGAGCTAAAGATTTTCTAAGATAAGCAAAAACTAAAGGAGTTTGTGAACACTAAACCTCCAGGAAGTATTAAAGGGGGCACTTAGAGTAGGAAAGAGAGATCAGAAGTAACAGAGACTAGAAAGGAACAAAGACAGTCTTCAAGGAGAGCTACTTTAGAGGTGATATAATGGCACAAAATTCATATCTTTCAGTAATTAACTCTGAATGTAAATGGACTAACTCTTCCAATCAGAAGCCATAGGGTATCAGAACAGATTTAGAAGCAAAACAAAATGAAAACCACACCCACCAATATGCTGCTTACAAGACTCATCTTAGACTCAAAGACTCCTCCAGATTGAAAGTAGAGAGACATTTATCATGCTAACGGACATCAAAAGAAAGCTGGAGTATCCATCCTTATATCGGACAAACTAGATTTTAAACCAAAGACTTTAGTAAGAAATGAAGAAGGGCACTATATCATTATAAAGGGGTTTTCCAACAAGAAGATCAAGCAATTGTAAATATTTATGCCCCTAACCTGGGAGCAGCCAAATATATAAATAGGTTAATAACAAACTTAAACTCATTGGTAATAATACAATAATAGTAGGGGACTTTAACACCCCACTCATAGCAATGGACAGATGATCTAAGCAGAAGATCAAAAAGGATACAGGGCTTTGAATGACAAACACAGTGGACTATACTAACAGATATATACAGAGCATTTCATCCTAAAGCAGCAGAATATACATTCTTTTTGAGTGCACATGGAACATTCTCCCAAATAGATCACATTTTAAAGGGTCACAAATCAGTCCTCAACCCCTACAAAAAGACTGAGATGTTACCTTGCATATTTTCAGACCACAGTGCTATGAAACTTGAAGTCAACTGCAAGAAAAAATTCAAAGGGTCACAAATACATGGAGATTAAAGAACATCTTACTAAAGAATGGATGAGTTGGGTTGCCTATGTGGCTCAGTCGGTTAAGTGTCTTGAGTCGATTTCAGCTCAGGTCATGATCTTGGGGTCATGAAATCCAGCCCCACACTGGGCTGTGCATTAAGTGCAGAATCTGTGAGAGAATTTCTCTCACCCTCTCCCTCTGTCCACTTATATGCTCTCTAAAAATAAAAAATATTTTTTAAAAACAACTAAAGAGGGCATGTGATATGATGAGCATTGGGTGTTATGCTCAACTAATGAATCATTTGAACATTATATCAAAAACTAATAATGTACTGTACCTTGGCTAATTGAATTTAAATAAAAAATAACATCAAACCTCTGGGAAAAAATTAAAAAGAATAAAACATTAAAAAATCTAAGTGGATATTAAAAAAAGGTATGAATGGGTTAAGCAGGAAACTAAAGGAGAATTTAAAAAATAGATGGAGGCAAATGAAAATGAAAAGATGACAGTCAAATCCCTTTGGGATGCAGCAAAGGCATTCCTAAGAGGGAAGTATATAGCAATACAGGCCTTCTTCAAGAAGCAAAAAAGTCTCAAATATACAACCTAACCTATACCTAAAGGGGCTGGAAAAGCTAACAGCAAATATAGCTTAAATCCAGCAGGAGAAGGGGTGCTGCCTCTGCTGGCCTTCTGGGAGAGAGACACATCACGCTGGCTTAGGGTCAGACCTGCCTTAGGATATATGCACTTGAGAGACACAGAGGCACAGGGTTTGGTATAAAGGGGTCCCACTTTCACTGAGGGCCACTCTGTTGCTCTCCAAAGTCCTGCAGTATTGGTGGTGAGGACAGAAATGGTGTCATCCCTCTTGTCCAAAGACAGGGGAATCTCATACCCCCTGCTGATAAGGAAGCCCTTAAAGAATAGCCAAGACCATCAATTCACTGAGCATTAAGAGTTCTCCTGGATTTTATCTTTGGCTGGAGTCTGGGATTCAAAACCAAATCTTAAGGGACCTGGTACAGTGCAGACCCATTCCTTTCCTCCAGAGAAAAGCCTGTCCATGCTGTGTCTGGTGTCCTTTGTCTTAGAAAAAATGGTCCAGTTTCTGTGCAGTGCACAGAATCTATGGTGTAGCACAGTGAAAAGCAGCAACCAGGTTATCCAACCTCTGTGCATGCCCCTGCCAATGAAAGAGTATTTGGGGGCACCTGCAAGGTCTTTTTGTCCTTGAAGAGGCAATATACTTCCTACCAAATGTACTCCTGGAAGGGAAATTTTCTCTCCAAGTGTGGCCCAGGAGATCTCTACAACACTTTGTGCACTCCCAGACTGCAATTTCTCTTTACTTAATGGAATTTAGTCTTTAACATTTCTTTTTCTTTTTTTTTTTTTTAATTTTCAGCATAACAGTATTCCTTGTTTTGGCACCACACCCAGTGCTCCATGCAATCTGTTGTCCGACTATAGTTACTGGGTCAGGTTTTTTTTTTTTTCTCTTTAACTCTTTATTACATTAAAAATATTATTAATTCCAACTGGATTAAATTTCAACTAAAATAAGTATAGTTGGGAAGAAACCAAACATGTCATATAAATGTAATGAAATGAACATTTGATAAATTCAGTATACATTATGAATATTTTTTAAAATCTACAAACAAAACAATACCAGTTTATTCTGAGGATATGTTTGGTCCTCAGTCTACTAATGGCTGCTTTCATCTCCTGATTTCTCAGAGTATAAATGATGGGGTTCAGTAAAGGTGTAATAATTGAATAAAACACAGAAAGAAATTTATCCACTGAAAAGCCACTGGATGGCCAAGCATAAATGAAGATAATTGGCCCAAAAAACAGAGTGACCACAGTAATGTGAGCAGACAGTGTGGACAGAGCCTTGGAGAGTCCACCAGAGGATCGACGTCGGACAGTTACTAGAATAACAGTGTAGGAAATGAGCAGGAGTATGAAGCAGATGAAAGACAACAGCCCACTGTCCACAGTTACCAGCAACTCCAGAATGTAGGTCTCAGTGCAGGCAAGTTTTAGAACACGGGGAAGGTCACAAAAAATATCATCTACTATGTTGGGGCCACAAAAAGGCAACGTGATAGTAAAAACCATCTGGCTCATCGTATGCACAAAACCAACAGCCCATGAGAGCAGCACAGAGCCCACGAGGACCCGGCGATTCATGATGGATGTGTAGTGAAGAGGTTTGCATATTGCAATGTATCGATCAACAGCCATGACTATGAGAAGAGTCATCTCACTGCCGCCTAAAAAGTGGAGGAGGAACATCTGAGCCATACAGCCCCACAAAGAAATAGTTTTATACTCTCTGAGGAAATCTGTGACCATCTTAGGGGTTGTGATTGTGGAAATACACATATCCAGGAAGGAGAGATTTCCAAGGAGGAAGTACATTGGTGTGGAGTATAGAAGTGAGTCAAAGGTTACAGTGACCACGATGAGAAGGTTTCCTGCCATAATTGCTACATAGGCCAACAAAAATATGAAAAAAAAGAAAATTTCAAGTTCCCATGTTTTGGTGAGTCCTAACAAAACAAACTCCGTTACCATTGAGCTATTCATCTTATTCATCTAGTCTATGAAGGGGTTTTCAGAAAGTCGTTAAAATGTAGAAAATCTGGAAAAAAGTGACAGTTTAACCTGTGATAATTTTGAAGATATGGCCATATAGAAAGTAGTATTTGATTCATATACAAAGAGAGAAGATGGACATTTCTGAAAAATACATTTTAATTGATTAATTCATGCAACATTCACATTACTGTATTTTTTTCAGTAAGAAAAGTCATAAAAGATGAGAAGTTTATCATAAAATTTTTAAACATAGTTTGCAGGCACAGATTGTCTCCACATTGATTTGTTGTTTTTATCCTGAGTTTATGAGCAATGAGTTCAATAGGTCAAGCAGTCCAAGAGCCAAAAGGCCATTAGTCAAATGAGTTAGTTCAAGTGTATAGAAACATAGTCATTAAACTGTGGTGCCTATTATTTTATCTTTTCCCCCTTTCTCCTGCTGTAATTTGAAATAGTCAGGTAAGTGCATGTGACTTGAATCCTACTCAGCAAATAACTTCAGGAATTTAGCAAATTCTTCCTGAAGCTTTAAACTGGCTATAGTCTGTGGTGTGTTCTTACCCTCCCCCACAAAAACTATAATAAAACAAACTTCCCAGTTTCTGCACAAGAACATAAATATTTCTCAGCGTACAGATTTCCTTTTTTCTTTTCTTTTCTTTACTCCTCCTCTCCTCTCCTCTCTCATTTCTCCTCTCACTTCCCTTACCTACCTCTCTCCTCCTTTCCCCTCCCCACTCCTTTCACCTCTTCCCCCTTTTCCTCCTCTTCCCCCTGTTTTCCCTCCTTGTTTCTTTCCTGTCTTTTTTTTTCCTCTCCTTTTCTTCTCTTCTCCTCTCCTCTCCTTCCCCTCCTCCTCCTCTTTCTCTACCTCTTCCACCCCCTCCTCCCCCTCCTCCTCCTCCTCAACTACCACCTCCTCTTTGTTCTTCTGTAGAGCTCTTTATCTTAAATACTTCGGTTTCTGGACAAAACTGCTGACCTTGGCTGTTTAGCCTTTTTGCCTATTTGCATCAGTCTCTTGTTGCTAGGTTCTTGGCTGAAGTTTGCTTTCTTGTCCCTTTGCAATCAGTTTATAGGAGGACTATGACCAACCAGCAGACTTTTTACAAATAAATGTTTCCTTGGTTCCTACATGCTTATCTTCTTTTGTACCCAGTGCTTTCCTCTGATATTTCATACTTGTGTGCAGACTTTTTCTTGACTCTTACACTGGCTCATGTATCTTTGCCACTTGTACTTTGTGTGTATTCCCATATTGAGCTGACACTGATCGCTTTTAAATACTTTTCATTTTGATTTAGATCTTTTGGTCCCAGATTTTTTTTTCCTGTTTTCTTCTTTTTGAAAAACTATTAGTGATACACACCAAAGACACAGACATAGTTACTGAATCATACATACACACATAAACACAAATACATATACCATGTTCTAATTCTGGAGCCCCAGAACAGATTGTGGAAAATCTACTCTGAATATACATTTTTTGACTTAATAGTTCATAAAATACTCAGATACTATTATTTAGCCCAACTATCAGAATAACGGAAGAACAAGAACAAAAAACCTTGAACCAAGAGTCAAGATTTACATTCTAGTCCTGGCCTCTACATTTACTCGGGAAATATGGTCTTAATTTTTTGAACATTGATTTATTTTTCTATATACATAAAGTAATACCTACTCCTCAACCTCACAGATTGTTATGAGACTACCAAGGATAACATATATGGACTATATTTGTGTATTTCATTGTATACCCATAGGTACTATGTATGTGCATTCACAAAATTCTGTCTTTAGCATTATCTCATTTTTTGGTGACTATAAATTTACCCAAACCAATAAGAACCACAGAAGAATTTTACTATGGAAGTCTTGGTAAAAAAGACAGTCTAAATGAATGTTTTTCTCTATTAAATTTAATGATATAATTACCTATTTGTCTTAATTATAAAGATTTATTATCATCATTGGTATTCTATTTCATGTAGTAAGTGAGTCACATAGTATTTATGTGTAGTTTCAAAACAATGCAGTCTTCAGACTCAAAATACTAAGGGAAAAAATCTTGAGAATTATAAAAGTAATTTTTATAGTTCAATAAGTAAAATTGGAAAATAATAAGCAAAAACCAATACTTATTAATTTAGGATTTTTTGGAATTTCATGAGCCTCTTTATAAAATATATACAGCTAAGTGTACATATAGATGGATTCAAATATGTTATTATAGATGAAATCATTCAATATGACAATTTGTACATATGATCAAAGATGAAATATCTTTAAAATATATTTTTCTACTTAGAGACAAGTAGAAATAAATTGGAGAATGAAAAGAAAATTCTTCCTAACTTGAGCCAATAAGCCTCAAATGGAAAATTTAAACTTTTGAGGATGTATATTATACAAATACAGTGAACTGAAAGGAAATAAAAAATAATTGAATAAATGTGAATCACAAAAGCAAAGCCAACCACGCTGAAAATTTTATTAAAAAAGAAAAATGAATCAAGCGTGGTTTGGTTTCTCTCTAGTAGGAATTTTGTCTGAGAATGGATAACCTGTGATTGGAGAGCCTAGCTCTTTTTGTGACATTTATGTGACTTAAGGATGAAAAATTAGTGCCATTTTTTCAACTTTGGTGGCCTGCCTAGGGAAAAAAAAAAATGCTGTGAAATGTCCAATACTGAGTATCTATATTTAGTAATAATGTCTTTTCTATACATTTACACAAAAGGACTTAAACAGTATATGTAGAAATATATACATAACTTTTAATAAAATAAGAGTTGTACAGTTTGTATTGATCCTGAGGGTTTTTTTTTATGAGTCTTTTTTATGAGAGAGTTAAGTCATGTATAGATTAGATAACCCATGCCCAAGTAATATTCACTCACCACAAAAAATGTTTGGAATAGAAAAATCAGATTTGCTGTCAGAATAACCATTATAAATATTTTTAATTAAAAAGTTAACTTGTACATTTAATAGAAAAAGGCTCAGCATTTAAGATGTACAAAAGTCTTTGTTCTCATATAAAGATCATATTTAAAATATTAAAATTAATTGCTTTAAATGTAGGTAGAAAAAAGGCCAGTGTGTTTAGAAGAATAGGAAATAGTCCTTGGGTTGTAAAATTACCAAAGAAATTTATTAGCAGTACAATTAGGTAATTATATTGAATGAAAGGTTAAATGACTTCAGTGAACAAAATAAGTGTACTTGGGGGGAAAATTTTTTTTAATTTATTTAAATTAATCATTTATCTTAGTTCATGTGTTTTCTGTATTGACATAAATACTCAGTAATGTTGATAAGTAATATGAAATCAATGTTTCTTATTTTCTTGATATGAGACTTTATTATTTTATGTTTCAGACTTATCACAGATGCTATACTTAACCAAGGAGAAACCTAAATTTTCCATTCTTTTAATATTCTAAATCATTTTGCCTTTTTATCCCATAGTGATAACTAATTTGTTTATAATCCCAGAATACAAACTTGAACTATAAAACTGACCCCTCAAATCAGGAACATGGCTCTTGTTCTTAGTGAAAGTAGATACATTGTAAAATTGCTAGTTGACCAAAATTATCTTTTACTGTTGCCCTCATGATCAGAATAATATTGTTTCATTCAGTTCTAAGTTTCTTATAAAACAACTCCTCCTTTATTAAAGTATATAATTGCAGTTTTTTGTTAGCACTGCCATTTAAACCTACCAGTTCTGAGGAGTGGCCTCTTCAAAGATGTGCAGAAACAGTTAGATCCTGAATATATATTGTTTATCATTTTCACCTTCATGAATATACAGGACAATAATTTTCAGGTACAAAAAAAAAAAAAGAAGAAAAGAAAAAAGGGCAAGGACAAGAAACATAAATAAAATGCAGGCTGGTGATCAATTCCCTAAAGGGAATTACTAAAATAAACATGGTGATGTTCCCGAGAGTTCAGAACAAGGACTTCTCTCATTATTTAAGTGGATTGTAATTCTCCAAGTGTATCAGCTATGTGAACTTTCTCTAGTAGGTGCTTTCCAGCAAAACCACTAACTCAAGTGTTTTGATTGGGAAGGATATGCACATTTATAGAAAATGATCTATCATAAGTGATAGACTTGAGGAAATTATAATTCTATTAATTAGGTTTCATCCATCTGAATATTTATAATTAGTAACTGAATGCATTTATTCAAGTAAAATTAAAATAATCTACACTGTTCAAGGCATATAAGGAAATTTATATACTAGAGACCAGTTATGAGCAGAAAAAAATATCATTTTACCATAGAAGGGGAGAGAACAGACAGAGAGAGGAGAGAAAGAGAGCAAGTGAACCAGCACACACAAAGTAGGAGCAAGAAGGAGAGGCTTTCATCATGGTAAGCAATAAACGATGAGTTAGTGGAGTTTAGCATTCAACAACCATTCTAAACATTTAGAATTCTTTAGTCCTTTACAATTATGTAGAACTTGAAGATGACTCAAGACTATGAAAAGAAGGTCATGGAGGCAACTATAGTAAAACTTTTATAGTAAAACAATATAGATAAAATAAAGGCTAACAGTGTGACAATGTATGATTGCTCATGAATTCATTTGCCACAGGAATTTTTCTGTGTCCCTTGTACTATAGCTCTTCCATGTTTGTCTAATTGGAATACTCTTGAAAAGATTACAAGAAAGTAAGGGGAGTAAATGTATGATAACTGTGGTGCCACATTCATTTCCAAAGTCCATAGAAGACATTCCTAATAGGTTTCTCATTCTTTCTGACTGAGCCTAGGAATTTTTTAACTTAAATTCAATTTAGTTAACAGTTTTTTAAAATTTATTTTACCCATGAAGCCATTAGCAATTAGAATTGCCATGAAAAATAAGTCTTTAAAACATATTTTGCTGGGGCGCCTGGGTGGCTCAGTGGGTTAAAGCCTCTGCCTTCGGCTCAGGCATGATCCCAGAGTCCTGGGATTGAGTCCTGGG